CACTGCAACAGCATCACAGCAGCCTGGTTTGGGCCCCCAACAGGTGCTTCTCTATCTACAGATGCCATACATTCCTCACCGTCAGCGTCCTTTTTCCTTCAAAGATCAGAAAACTGTGCGAGCGTGTGCACATGTTTATGTGACAGAGTGCGAATAAAATCCCATCTCAATGCCCTCTGCTGTCCTTTGACATCTATGCCTACTCTGTTTGGTCTAACTCCCCTCCTCCTCCCGGCCCTCCTCAGAGAGAGACGTCACTCAAGGTGAACCTCTATTATGTGCAATGGAGTTCTCATTATGTACCCTGCCAGATCGTCCACAACATTCTTGAGGTCGGGCTGGAGTGTTTGTCTTCCTCCTTCCCTCTGAAATCTTATTATCTAACACAGCAAGAACAGATTGGGGGTCAGGGTGTCTCTGGGGCTTTCGCAATTGACGTGAATTGAGACAAAGGGCACAATCTCGTGTCATTTCATGTCAGCATATGTGTGTGTGTGTCTGAGGAGGACTTGACCTTCCAGCACAGTTGGCTCTGCTTTTTAACATCAGAACTGTGTTTTCTTATGATTTCTCCAACCTCTCTTTTCTCTCTCTTTTTTTTTTTTTTGCAGAATTGGTCAGGAATGAAGTGTCAGTTTAAGTTATTCCGGATGGCCATGGCTCTGGTTTGCAGTAAGTCTGGATGAATATGGCACACTCCCACACTCACCTCAGCTTCACGCTTCACTTTCTTAACACAGGACTTATGCTTGTTTTGTTGTTGTTGTTGTGCAACTTTAAAACCAGAAATTAATCTCACAACAAAGGTTCCTAAATAGAAAAACATGATGTTGCTTCAAAAGCTTTAATATTAAAATCTGTATGTGTGTCAAAGTTAGTTTTGTCAATTAAAATAATCCCTTTATGCCTCCAAATGGCGAATATGTAACTCTTGCTTCCTCTAGAATGCACAAGTCCCACCTTTTTCCTCTCCATTTGCTGCAGCTGGAGCACACCAGCTCACCTGCCACTGTGCTGAAATGCTATAAAACCACTCTGTGTTACACAGTGGCAAGTGACAATATTGGAGCCATTCATGTTTCAACCTAAACTGACTCAAAAGAAGAAGAATGATAAGGAAAGGCCCACCCTGCGAGTTGAGCGATTGGTTCCTTAGATGATGTGCCTCGTATGAAACCCCAGCTGTGGCACTGACAGCTCATTTTATTCGAGATGTGTCTTGTAGCCTATAGAAAACACCATATGGACATGTCAACAAAGCAAAACAAAAAAAAACTTTGATTGTCACCAGAGGAGGCCTTTAAGGTTTCTGGCAGTGCAGCTTCAGGATATGAACAGTTTCCATGTGACAACGTTAAGTTATTAATTTTCTATGTGACACAAGAAGATTTCTTTGCGATGCAGTATTTCATTCAAAAATGGAGGAGTTGAAAGTGGTTTCCTAATAAACTAACTAGTAATGCAGGGGTAGGTTGCAAAGTTTAGTCTTTACTTGCTGGAGATAAATGTGTTGTGCCTCCAAGATTGCAGATAAAAATGAAGATGAAATGCTGCTTCACACAACACCAATATATCGTTGGGCAAGTGATGGGTTGCTTATATACACAGTGTTGGAAAATCTACTTGCTTCCTTTTGACCTTTGAAACATGAATAAATGACACATGACAGACTTTAGGGTATTAAATCAGGTATCTTCCAAATTCTTTTAAGTGCAAAATTTCCTGCTTATGCTGCTTTTTTGTTGCTCATTCTTGCTTTCAGCGATTTCAACCCCTAATGAGCTTATGAATCTTATAAAAGGGGGCTGTTTCTGTTGATATGTGCAGTAGTTTTTCCACATCTACATGCTCACTAACCTCACGTCTGTCCCTCTCCCTCTCCTACAGTGAGCGTAGAGTTTGGTCGAGCCGTCTGGCTGCGCTTCTACCCTCCGGCCTTCCCTCCGTGCCCCAATCCCAGCTTCGTAGCTCACCTGGGGGGAGTGGTGGTCGGCCTGACGCTGGGCGTGGTGGTCCTGCAGAATTACGAGCAGCGGCTCCAGGAGCAGTCTCTGTTCTGGATCTTTTTCTGCGTCTACACCTTGTTTGTGCTCTGCGCCGTCTTCTGGAACATTTTTGCTTACAGCCTGCTGGACGTGCGACTGCCTCCGCCGCCTTGACTCCCTTATTAGGAGTAAACAGGACACTTCACACCCCCCGTTATTCCTCCGCTGGTCGACGCCTGACCGCCTGGCTGGATGAGTCACGTCGGTCCTCGCGCTCTTGAGCCTCATCCTGCGGTGATCAGAGTCGACCGACAGCCTACCCTCCTCCTACATCCAGCGCTCTGATGCGAGGATACCTGGCATGCAGCGGCCCTCCTGTTTTGTGAATTAAGCCTTATCATTTTCCCCACAAGCTCTTCTCCACCTGTTTTTTTTTTTTTTTGTCTCCATGTCTGCTGGACGTTTGTCTCAAGAGTATCAGCCAGTGGGACTGTTGCTGACGACACCGCATCGACAAATGAGAAGCCTCGGATCTAACAGAACAGAAACCAAGCAGGAACTGACCTGTCCACACGGCTCAACCCTCTCTGCCTCTTCCTCCTCAATCCGACAGTGCCTACTCATGGAGACTGATGAAAGTATCTCTGCACAGTTGCCTCTCGCAGAAGTAAAACCCTACATTTTACGACGAGAACAGTCCCTGAAAACCCTGTTATCTGCGTACGAACAGGGAGGTTAGAGGAGAATTTAAGCTCAGCCGGGTGTTTTGTCATCATTAGAAGCGGCTCGTGAGCGTCGGAGGTTCAGACACGACGCAGGCGGCAGGATAGTCGTCCCTCTTTACAGCACAGAGAGACTAAATAGGCTGCAGGCCACCTTCAGAAGTTATTATGAATTTTTGAAGGGAAGTGTGGGTTACTATTCAGTGTTGCCTTCAGCGTTTGTCACTTCCTCGGAGAAGGATTAATTTTGTGTGCAGCACTATTTCGAACCTCAAACTCGTGTCTTTTGCGTGTGTGCGGGGAGTGCGACAAACGTGTCGTTGTGTGTACAGATAAAAGTGAAGCAGAAGTGCCATTCAGACTTTAAGCTTTTTAAAAAAAAAAAAAAGATGATGCCAAAACATTGCTACGAGCACCGAGGGGGGAAGAGCACAGCCCCTAACAAGTATTGCTTTTGTGTCGGCAGAACTTACAGTAATTTTGTCCCGTTAAGAGTCGGTCGAATGTAACGGAAAATTCTCTCTAAAGTCAGATTTTGTCATTTCATCCTCGCTCGCTGGGTATTTGCAGTGATTTCTGGCAAAGGTCAAACACTGCAAAGAGTTGAAAGAAGTTTATTTATTGACGGTGAGATGTAAGCGGGATTAGACGAATGAAAACGTTCACCAGTAGAGACAGCCGGGACATTCTGAATAAATCTAACGTTTATTTCTCATTACCAAACGTAGAAGAGCACACATGTCTGACCTCGACTACATCTGGGCTGGGGTTGTTTCGCTCTCAGTTCAGGAGGCAATCGGACAAAGAAGTAAATCAATGCTCTCTCATTAGTTCCTGTCTCAACTTAATTTGTTAATTGATTGAACTGGGATGGAAAGCGACCCCAGCCCCAAGCTGTAAGTCTCAAACTGTACTGTATTTTAACCTCATGTTACACTGGTAACTGCTTCGCACAGACATTAATATAATGTAATTAAATACAGATTAATATTTTAACATGCATTTGCTGTTGATTTTTTTACATGGTGATATTGGTATGTTGTGTAACTCGTTTGGTCGGTCTGCTTTGTGATATGTTAGCTATATCCTGTATGTATCCTATTTAAAAAAAACTGATTAATGATGGCCTGGGATTGTATATAATAAGGGCTACGTCACAAAACTGAGTGAGGGGTAAATCACTGATAATATTTTAACATTGTGCATATTTTGTAGATTTGATATGTACATACTGGGGTACAATAAACAGTTTTATACAGAAACAAAATGCCGTCTTTAGCATTTTTGCCCTCTCCTGTGTTAGTTTTGTCATGCTGTTATTTTGTCTGTCCTTCTGCTAACTGTGATACAAGTTTAAAGCAACAGACAGCACTACTTTTCACATGATTTAGCTGTTTTGCAAAGGGAAACAGAAAGAATAAAACAATCACCCTTCCTATATGGACGCTAGCCTCACATCAGGAGACAGCCGCTCTGCTTTAGTCCCACACAAGTGAAGGTTTTCAAGCATTTAAAGCCGAACGTCCTGACCAAAAGAAACCTCACTGTGACCTCAGGTCATGTCACACATGGCTGCACACACACATGCTGGTTTTATTCAAAATTGAGAGAGGAGGACAGGAGTTACCCTCCATTGTGCAAAGAAAAAAATGCTCAAAGTAAGCAGCCTTGAAACCCGATTAGCTTTATAATTCACACCCAGTGTTTGGAGAGAGCTCATGGCCCCAGAGTGGAGAGAGCCTGTGTGAAAAAAAGCAGACGTCAGGGTGATCAATGAAATGTGTGAGCGTACAAGAATCAGCCATAATTCATTCAGAGAAGGGACCCCTTAAGCTGTCACCCAACGTCTTCTCCGTCTAGCCGGTACAACCATATGGAGAGTAGCGTTTTTGAAGGCGTACAATGAAAAATTCATTATGCGACCAAGGAAAGCCGCCTCAGTTGTGTTTCCCCTTCATAAATCTCCCGTTTCAGAGGTAATCATTCACCTTGGCGAGAAAGAGAGAAGACAGGAGAAGTTGCAAGAAAGGAAAATCTGTCCAAACACATTTGTCGCGTTCCTGCGTTTACGCTGCTTCCTGAGAGAAGCACTTGTTACAATTTGGCCTCTTTTAGCGCACAATTCACATCTTTGTAGGTACAAGCAGCAGGACCAGTAGAAACAACTTGTGCAAGTGAAATAACTACAGATCACTTTTATGGTGTAGCTGGTGAGGGTGGGTTTAATTATGAATACTGCCGGGCATTATAGCTACCACATAAAAATTAAATAACGTGATTATCATAATTGATTTGTTGGTTATATTTAGATCATTTAGCAATAATGCTTCTCTGGTTCTCCACTGCTAACTGAAGCTTTCAAAGAAATGCTGTTTCCTGTAGAATGCATCAGACCATTAACACCAAAGGGATCTTCATACTGGTTACATCATGCTATCCTCTGGCTCTTTTACTGGTTGCTAGCTTTTACATGCAGGGTTAGGCAAAAGTAAACTTTGCACCTATTTGGGATTTTTGCACATCTCACTCCCAAACCTTTGGCGTTACTGTGCGACCTCAACAGCCTCCACTACTTTATTAGGAAGATTTCCAGATTCATTTTGGCAGGGGACACACTGGTCTATTTCTGCAGCACTGTCTCCATCAAGTGGACGAAATAACAAGCTGCAAATGTGTGATATAGAGTGAAAATGTCTCATGAGGACAGCAATCAATGCAATCGTATGGACTTTAAAGTGTGGTTGAGCTCAGGAAAAAACGACATTATGTGATATTAATGCGTATCTGTAGATGTGTGGTTTGTATTTATTTGAATAGAGAGAAAGCACAGTAAAAAGAGCCAAAAAATCTATACAGCTACAAGCACTGTTATCCAGTAACTCCAGTAACACGACACTATCAGTAATCAGCCAACATGGGGAAAAAAAGTGAAACCTGAACAGAGGAAGTGATATTTTCTGTGCAGTAGAGTTTTACGCAAACTTTAAAAAAAAAAAAAAAACATCCTGCAGTTACACTGGAAGAAGAAAGGAACTTAATTTAAAAACTAAATAAATCAGCAAAAACAATTATTGTAGTTAATTTTCAACCTGGAGAGAAGATTAATTTTAACAAACAGTTTGCATGTTTTGAGTTATTTTGAATATACAGCTGTTGTTTGAGGATTATTCACTTGACTGTTAAGGTGCTGGATTGTAGTGCATTGAAACAATTCTGCAATATATATATATTTGCAGTTTTTGCAAAATCTGAGATATATATATATATATATATTTTATGCATTGGTAGTGATGCCCTCTTGATGACTGTTTTGAAGGCGAACATGTGCATTTACAGTAAATGTTCTGTATGAGTTAAGCTTTTTGCAGGTCACATGAAGTGCTGTGATGTATGATATCATGTGATAATAACATTTGTGATAATTAACTTTAACTGAGGGAGATAATAGATAAGAGAACTGATGAATGAACATGTTTCTCACTGTAACTGTGGATGCTTTAAAGAAAATATGTGTTTGAAACCATGTGAAGTGCTGCATGTGTGGAATATGTGCATTTTGTTTTGAGAACAATGATCAGCCAGTTTTCTCACAATCAGTCAGTTACATTCCTTTTCATTAATATTATTTTGACAATTTTGGTTTGCACTCAATAAAAAAAGCTTTCAAGCAGATGTAAACAGCTATATTTAATTTAATTAACTATCTTTACCTGCTGTTTGTCTATTCTTGTTGATCGTCACTTGAACAATGCTGCCCAGCCACATGGACACACTCACAGCAGAGTACTAAACTCCTGCAGCAAACCCTTCTGAACTCAAAAAGTCAGCTGGGAGCAAGAAAAATGAAGCTGCTGGATAAAGAAGACTCTTTAGTGTCAACTCTGTTCATGGCCCGACAGGACTTGGACAGCTTGGTGAAGACTCTAAAGTCTGCAGGAGCCAGTCAAAAACAATTTGACAGAGACGGACGGGAAAATAGAAGAAAAGGAAAAAGTTGTTTGCTCCTTCAAAGAAAATGTGAGCTTCCAGCAGATTGAGAGCGAGAGGGTCAAAAAGCCCTGGGAGGCAGAGTGCAAGCAGGTCAATGAGGTGAAGCGTTGTTTCAACAAACCTGTCACTGAATGCAGAGCGGAGAAGGAATCCTGGTGGTTTGTAACGCTGGAAGAGGTGACTGTCAAGTTTAAAACTCTGCAGGAGGACTGTGGGAAAAAAATGAGCCGCATCCTCCGGGAAAAGTCGAATGCAGTTGTCAATGAACTGAAATGATGCCGCTGGTGGAAGAAAACTTAGCCAAGCTGAAAACAATCAAGACAGACGTCCACCAGAGCGAGACTGAAAGGCGAAAGAAAAAAAGAAACTCTGGAGGACTGTCTCAGATCTGAGCTGGCAGCGAAGGAGGGCAGCTTCAGAAAAACAGAGGAGCTGCAGAAACAGAGTAAAGACACTGAAGAGAAGTGTCTGGCCAAAGAAGACCGGGTCAATGGAGTGAGCAAAGCTGGAGGAGGATCAAGCTCCTGATCCAACAAAACGCTGAGCTTCTGATGCCTCTGGTCATTTTATATGAATAATGATTTAGTGGATTGCAACAGTTTGTTTTAGGATCAGTATGTGCTGTTGTTTTTTAGGAGCTCGCCTTAAAAACTGACAAAGATAAGACGAAGGTGGAAAAAGAAGAACAAAAGCAAAACAGGCTGGAGAAGGAGATAAAAGAGGAGGAGGCGATAGGGAAAGCAAGAAGGAGGAAAAAGAGGCACTAAAGAGAGGAGATAAATAAAAAATGGCAATACAGATGAGAGAGAGGAGGCAACACTTCTAACATACCAACTACCCTTTACTGCCTTCTCTTACCACTGGATTCCCATCCTCTCATCATTTATGTTCAACTGATCAAATACAGTAACAAAAAAATCCACTTGACATCATGGCAATTTACTTCTTTTTTAATCTCTATAAACTGAAAATAAAACTCAAGACAATGTCTGTTCAGATTCTGCAGGTTTCACTGCAGCAGGTACATTTCTTACAGAGGGAAATATCACCCTCAAGTGATTGAAGGGTAGTACTGCATCAGATTTCTCTTAGAGACCTCAGATTGATTTGACTTTTCAATCTTCCAAACAATGATTCTTAAACATAAACCCGAACGATGAAAGCACTCAGGGAACATATTCAGTTACAAAGGCGACACATTCATCTTATTTTGCTTTTTACAAATGGAAAATACACACAAAATAATCAAAATCAAGGTCAAAACTTTTCTATTTTCTATTCTCTGCCTTGCTGCACTTGAGTCATGTTCACTGGGTCTTCAGTTCCTCGGGTGCTGGCAGTGCATGAAGACTCTTGTGTTCACTCTTGCGGTCAACAGCAGAACATTTGGTGTGTTTCGCTCACGACTGAGACATTTTAGAGTGAGAAGAAGCAGCTCTAGAAAGTAAGTAAACCTGGTGGACTATTTGAATGGCTCATCTTGCAATCAGCGGCAATGAGGGGCAGAAATATAGAAATATTGAGCCATCGGTCCCAATGGTTCCTCAGCTAGAACACAAAGGTTATGTAGTTTTAGGTGGCTTGGTGGAATGGCGTAAGATATTTGTATCTTAGTGGCTTTTACTCTACACAAAACACAATAAAAACGAGTTTTCACCTGACAGGACCTTTAATGTTTTGTCATAAGTGTCATGTCAGCTTTGAAATTGGCAAAACTAAAACTCAACTTACATTAAAAGTGAATTGGAGGAATCTCAATGTGTGTGTGCAGACTGGGTGTTTTGTGCTCTGTTTATGAGCCACTGTTGGTAGAAATGTGGACACACGAAGGTACCAGGAAGCATAATTGGATCTAGTTTGTTGTTTATAAAACGTGGGGCGTGTCTTTGACGTCTGTGTGTTTGCGCAGGACCGCAGCGTCCACTACTACTTCCTCCAGCTAAGCGCCATTTTCGGCCTCGTTACGGGACTACAGCATGCCGCTGTCAAACAGATAATAAGACAAGAGTTTAGCGTTGTGATACCCATTTTCAGTATTCCTTAACAATGGGGCGAAAAAAGAAGAAGCAGATGAAGCCTTGGTGCTGGTATCCTTTTTTTTTTGGTCTGCGGGGCAAAACGCCGTCGCGGAAAGGCCCGGAGCTACACGTTAGCTTGACAAAAGGGAGGCCTAAGCTTACCGTCGTTTTATTACTTTGTGAGCTAATGTTAGCCTAATAGGTTAGTTATTGCCGGCTATTAACTCACATTTAGATGCGATTTTATCCATCCAGTGTA